CCCAGACGACCAGAATAGCGAACAATCTGCGTCCTCAATTTTCAAGATCTTGGAGTTCTGGATCCCCTTGCCTCTCTATTCTCGGAATCGCCCCCCCCACCCAACCTGTCCAGGAGTGGCTTTTCATATGAATTTCGAGATGAATCCAGCCGTGGCGATGATGAGCATCGACAACCTCGATAGACCTAGATCCTGGGTCGCCACTCCTCTTCCTGCTTTGCCCTCCCCCAGACTTGCCCAGGGGGCGTGCTGGTCAGAATATCGGGGCGGGCCTCCCAGTTTCGCAACAATCGATGGGCCGGATCCTGCAACTTCTGTTTGGGTATCAAGGTCCAGTCCCAGACATGATCGCGTCGTAACAAAAATCAGGACGGGAGGTTTTTGAGTGTTTTCGGCCCCAGGGGGCCCTCGCTGGGCCTCGGGACCGTCATAAAATGACTCATCATGAAAAACGGGTCCCGGGGAAAGGGTCGAGACTTCCAGGGACGCCGTCCTGAAAACATCAGGACGTCGCATGTCTGGGGTATGACCCAGTAGGACACCCCAGTTGGCGGATAGAGCAGGATTCATCGCAATGGGAAGGGACTTGTGCGAGGGGGTTAGATGCCACTTGTGGCGTGGACGCACCTAGCTTGTCCTCCTCCTCCTCCTCCTCCTCCTCCTCCTCTTCCCTCTCATTTTCCTCTCCCTCATCTTTGCTCCTCTATTCCTCTGCCTCTGCTCAGACGTGGCCTGAGTGTATCTGCCTTGCCCTCGTCGTCCTCTTTCTCCTCCTCTTCATTTTTCCTTCCAAATGACTCCAGCCTGTGACACCACCAGACGTGTTGTCAGGGCGGGCCGAGCGTTTCGCCTGAGACTTCCGCACCATTTATGGACTTGACTCTTGAAGTTTCCTGCAGTTGCACGGATGTAGAGCGGGCCAATTTCAAAATGGGACTCGCCCCAGCGCCGCGCAGAACTCGTCGTCAACAGGTTTAAACACTTGCCCGAATGGAGGGTGAGTCGTTTTGAACATGGGGCTCTCGCTTGCGCGATGCATGCAGTGGTCTTACGTGAACAAACTCAGCAGTTCCTAGAAAGGAGGGTGGTTCCTTTTTATCAAGATGGAGCTTTCACCTGAACCTTCCTCAACGTTACTGAAAGTTAAAAGATAAACAGGATGGAGCGTGGCTCCTTTTCTGAATCGGGCTCCTCTCGTGATCCTTGCGAAGGATTGACGACGACCCAGCATTGTTGTGCAAAAGGTACACGGACGGAGGGTAGCGCCTTTTCGAAGCGGGGCTGCCGCTCCACACGACCCAATATTGCTGTCTATCTCGAGGCATGTGGAGTGTAGCTTTCAGGAGGGAGAACACACATCACACAGACATTTCATCGTCGATTCCCCAGAACATATAGAAAACTATGGGGAGGGGGGGGAAGCCATAAAACCCAGAGCATATGGGCAAATGTGGGGAATCCTGTTATTTGTATTTATTTTTCCCCACATCCTGAGTGGGGTTCTTGTTTTCCCACAACATCCTCTCCTTCTCCTTCCCGCCTCCCGCCTCCCATATCAATACCATTTCCACCCCTCCAGGGAGGCCCCGCCTGAGCGAGGAGGGTATCGGAAAGCTATACTATTTACATGGTTTCGTGCCCTTCCCACCTCTCCAGGGAGGCCCCGCCTGAGCGAGGAGGGTATCGGACACCCATACTATTTACATGGTTTCGTGCCCTTCCCACCTCTCCAGGGAGGCCCCGCCTGAGCGAGGATGGTATCGGAAAACCATACTATGTACACGGTTTCGTGCCCTTCCCACCTCTCCAGGGAGGCCCCGCCTGAGCGAGGAGGGTATCGGAAAACCGTACTATTTACATGGTTTCGTGCCCTTCCCACCCCTCCAGGGAGGCCCCGCCTGAGCGAGGAGGGTATCGGAACACCATACTATTTACATGGTTTCTTGCCCTTCCCACCTCCCCAGGGAGGCCCCGCCTGAGCGAGGAGGGTGTCGGAACACCATACTATTTACATGGTTTCGTGCTCTTCCCACCTCTCCAGGGAGGCCCCGCCTGAGCGAGGAGGGTATCGGAAACCAAAACTATTTACATGGTTTCGTGCCCTTCCCTCCCCTCCAGGGAGGCCCCGCCTCAGCGAGGAGGGTATCGGAAACCCATACTATTTACATGGTTTCGTGCCCCTCCCACCCCTCCAGGGAGGCCCCGTCTGAGCAAGGAGGGTATCGGAAACCCATACTATTTACATGGCTTCGTGCCCCTCCCTCCCCTCCAGGGAGGCCGCGCCTGAGCGAGGAGGGTATCGGAAACCCGTACTATTTATATGGTTTCGTGCCCCTCCCTCCCCTCCAGGGAGGCCCCGCCTGAGCGAGGAGGGTATCGGAACATGATACTATTTACATGGTTTCGTGACCCTCCCACCCCTCCAGGGAGGCCCCGCCTGAGCGAGGAGGGTATCGGAAACCTGTACTATTTACATGGTTTCGTGCCCCTTCCACCCCTCCAGGGGGGCCCCGCCTGAGCGAGGAGGGTATCTGAAACCCATGCTATTTACATGAATTTGTGCCCTTTCCCACCTCTCCAGGGAGGCCCCGCCTGAGCGAGGAGGGAATCGGAAACCCATACTATTTACATGGTTTCGTGCCCCTCCCCCTTCAGGGAGGCCCCGCCTGAGCGAGGAGGGCATCGGAAACCCGTAGTATTTACATGGTTTCGTGCCCCTCCCACCCCTCCAGGGAGGCCCCGTCTGAGCGAGGAGGGTATCGGAAACCAATACTATTTACATGGTTTCGTGCCCCTCCCTCCCCTCCCGGGAGGCCCCGTCTGAGCGAGGAGGGTATCGGAAACCTGTACTATTTACATGGTGTCGTGCCCGTTTTCCACCCCTCCAGGGAGGCACCGCCTGAATGAGGAGGGTATCGGAAACCCATACTATTTTCATGGTTTCGTGTCCGTCCCACCCCTCCAGGGCCCCGCCTGAGCGAGGAGGGTGTCGGAAACCCATACTATTTACATGGTTTCGTGCCCCTCCCATCCCTCCAGGGAGGCCCCGCCTGAGCGAGGAGGGTATCGGAAACCCATACTATTTACATGGTTTCGTGCCCTTCCCACCTCCCCAGGGAGGCCCCACCTCTCCAGCTTCTCCTTCGTGTTGATGTTGTCGTACCCCATGGGTCCCACGAGACCGTTCATATCTTTATGTGGGGAACTCCGTTAGCATAAATTCTGTGTGTCCCAGGGCCCCTTCAGCCTCTTCTACAGAGGAGCTCCTGACCGAGCTGTGGGTGCATCGTGCGCTCGTCCCTCAAGGGGGCGCCTCGCGCAGGGAACGAGAACGGCTGCATGGACCAGGGACAGGAGTGTGCACTGCAGCATCGTTGAGACCTCTTGTGTTTCCTGGG